GTAACCAGAAATAAATAATCAGAGGCAGTGTTGTTTCATTCGAAGCATGTTTCAACACTACTACCTCTGTGTGCTATTTGGAACGTGGCGACTCGAACTGCTGCACTTCGGTGCCAAGTTCTATGTTGAATCCAGACAGACAGACTCCAGGATGCCCCTTCTCCATTTCTATCGAAAAATTCCAAATGATAGGCAGAAACTTATTTCAAATTTTCCCCTAGTAAAACTGTGAATTATTGCTGCGATTTGATGATTTAAACAATAAGAAACGGAGTAAATACAATGATGAATTTTGTTGAATCACGGAATATAGACACATTTGATCATAGAGAACGAAAAGGCATTTGCAGCGAAGAAAATTTTCTTTTCGACGAAATAAACAAGTTTCGGTAAGAAAGTCAATGGGACAGTCACTATTAGAAGAATAACCTGTTTATGATGACCACCTCAGGATCAAGGGTTGAACGTATTTCTTTTGGATATATAGCGTGGGTTTGAGCTTTCGGATGGCTAGTGCCTCGGCTATGCCCCGAAGTCTTAATTTTACTCCCTTTAATAGGTTTGATCGAATCTTGTATATTATTTTGAAGGATTTTTCGAATGGTGCTGAATGTCCTGAAGTGACCAAATATCCTGTCACTGAACTATATACCCGTTTTTTCTTTCTTCTTTTACAAGCCGGGCTGGATAGTGTTCACGAGTGCGTTTCTGAATCCTTATTAACACTACCATATTTTCATATGCGAACTTCCTGTCTATCTTGTTATTTTATTATTTCTACATATTTAATCCCTGATTGCATAAGCAATCATTTGTCATATTAGTTATGATCCCACTAGATTTTTTATTCAAACATCCTGTCTATTGTTGTTATTTCTACATTTCTAACTCCTAATTGCTTAATATGTCAATCTTCTCAATAATTATGATGCTACTTTGTCTGAGCTATATCCCTCTCCCTGTATATTATGGCATTTTAATTCCTTATTTTAACTCTATCAATCTAACCCTTGACCAGAAATTATTCTGGAACTTTCCTACCCATTTATTATAAATACACGAATGTACAGCTCAGTTGATTATTTCGTCGAAAAGAGCATTTTGATGAAGAGAATATTAAGGTAGCCCAGTGACTTTAACAGGCCACCGTATAACCTTTACTTTAATTTCAGCCTTAAAACAAACACAAGTGAACATCTACTAAAATATTTAAAATTCACAGTGATGAGGGATATTTTAAAAGTTTGTGCTTTTCAGGAAACTTCTCTTTATACTCTGATTTCAGAAGGATATTTGGAAGTAGGGACCAGTAAATTATCACTCTTAATCTAAGGAATCCGAAGGGTGAGCTGCCAGATATTTTTCACTCTATTTCATTTTGGTTGCTTTTTCTGAAGGCACCTCTTCATGCTTCCTAATAGTTTAGCTAATTCCTGTTTGAAAAAGAGCACATTTAGTAGACCATCCTTTGTAATCACCATGGATTCTATTCAGACACTGTTGATTGATGTAAAGAAAAAAATTTCTGACAGTTAAAATAAGAATGTTTACACTAAAAGCCATATGTTTTATAAGTTGTGTGAATTTAGTTCTGAAGATGTTGTCTAGAAGAAGAATAAAAGCTATGGAGTTCAACCACTAAGATCACATAAGATGACGAGAACAGAAACTCCTACCTAGGTTACATACCTCTATCCCTTCAATACCCATATGTATATACATACATGCCTATCAAGACAACTGATAAACACTTTTTTTAAAATATGTTTTTACTATTATTCTAACATACTTTCCACAAAACAATTCTGTAAATTCAGAAGACATTTCAGTCTTGCCATAGATTCAATATATTCATAGATAACAACAAAGTAGGTCTTAACCGTCGACCTAGTCTAGTAGACGGAGAACTTCCAAACACTACTTATTTAAACAGTAAAAATAGCTTTAATTCCTCTGTTACGCAGTTTCGCTTCACAAATTAATCCTTCGAGCGTTTCAGAAGTCAGCTTAGTCTAAATGAAGGCATTTTAAGGCAAATGTAATTTATCAACTTTCCAATTTCTTTTTTATTCCTTTACGTCCCCAGTGGAACATAGGGCTTCAAGATAGAGGCTTGGAGTTTCATCGGCAGTGGTGTTTATTTTCACGGGATAACGGGCTGATAACTTCACGCCCAGCCTTTCCTCTTCACTAGTCTTATTACTGGTGAGAGAGAGCTAAAGGAGTGCGTCGGCTGGGGATGAAACCCCGGATCACATGCGTGGTCGGCGAGCATTCGACCACTGTGTCACCGACGCGCCAACTTTTCATTTTAATTAAAGATAACTTCAAGAAGTTTGTAAAGAGGTTGCATGAATGAGCGCTTTCATTTTTCGAGTTAACAGTGAACAGGAATTGAGTGATCACTGTTGAAATTTTACCTCCTCGAAAAGTGTACATTACATTAATCGTGATTGCGATTATTTAAGGTTTTACCAGCTCACCCAAGTAGCGAGTCTAAAAATGGTTTGTTTTGAGCTGATTTGGCTCGTTAAGCTGAGTTGAACCAGAAATATTTCTGATAAACTCGACTAAGCTGGTTAGTGTCATCCAGCAATCCTCCCAAAATAAGTGTGAATCATGGCCTGGTAAGAAGACATTTCTCCTGGAAAACCCAGTTCCAGCACTACCAATAGGTGAATTTTTTCTATCAATGAGTAAATAATAATTACCATTCAATATTCAAAGATTGGTTTACATGAAGAAAAATTCTGAAACATTCCGAAACAATTTCATTCTCATGTATATTCACCTCAGTAAATAATACGACTTATTTTCTCGACCATGCAGTCACTCACCGGACAGCTTAACTTTTAAAATGCTGACTTGATTTCACAGCCGAATGTAATACAAAAGAAGACAGTGTCAAGTACCTTTCTAGATGATAACACCTTCTTCAATGAAGCAGACAGCTATGAATATTTTAAAAAGGAGAAGTTAGAGAGATTTCAAACAAGTCTACTTCATTATCTAAGATGAGCTAATCAACAGGGTTATATATTATTCATGCATATTATATTAATCATGCTAAATTGTAAACGTTTCAATGTGCATTGGTCTATATTGGAAAACGAAATGGATTTGTGTGTACAGAATGATTATTTCATCTCATTTTCACCACTTTTTTAAAATTTATATAGTCATTGATTATGTAGTCAATACCATATTCATAAGTTTACATCTATGCCTCGTTTACCTGCAGCGTTACCGTATATATTTATTGGTCTTCATTAATGATAAAAAGATTATTTTATTATTATTTTTTTAATTTTTAAACCCAACCTGACTATTTCCTGTTCTCTGACATAACGGCAAAAAAAGAACTTGCTGTAGTTCACTTGTCATTTAAGTACAGGCATGCTTACATTCAGTTCAATAGTTATTTGAGGGAAAACTATGTGTACTGATGTAAACTGATAATGTAGAAAATACCTTGTTCACCGCTAAAAACAAAAGTTTGTCTATAAATTCCAAGATAAAACTAAAATACACTGTTATCTTTAATCAAAAAGAACAACAACATTGGTTGAATATTTTGGGATGTATGCGCTTTCAGGAAGTCATCGTCACAAACCGATGCCAAGAAACAACACTCTGAAGACTAGTTATTTTACTGTTATCATACCGTTCAGTTCCTAATAAATCATGGAGAATACAAAGGAAATAATAAACCGTCTCTTTTATTTTGGTTTACTGGTAACATAGCAACAATGCTAGTATAAGGATGAATAGTGGTCTAATATTTTAAATCTATAAATAATGAAAATGAGCATTTAAAATAAACTTTGGTCTAAGAAGTAATATTGTAGTATGGGTAATCATGGCAAATCCGTTCAAACCAGTGTTTCTATTTGGAATTATCGAAAATAGACCCAATTATGGAACTGGAAATTCGATCCCTAAAAAGGGCGAAGCAGATGTTTAGCTATTTTATGATGCTAAAGAGTTAATTTGTAGGGATGTGATTTGCTTCAAGGTTCACCACTGGGTGTTATCTGTTAGAGGACCACTAATAACTAGGGAGTACTGAGCAGCTATTTTATTCTAGTTTGTGACACTTAGTCACAAGGAGTTCGAAACCAGGACCTGTCGGTTAAAAGTCAGGCTCGTAGACCATTCAGTCAACGAGACCCGACTCAGCTGCTCATAAATTCCAATTCTAACAATTTTTGATGCTTGCGCGACCACCGGCTAATGTCATCAGTAAATTATTTGCCCTCACTCTCATCCAAGTAGAACAAACTGGTCAAAACTTTTGATTAGAGCACCAGGAAACCTAGCCCTTCAGTCATTCACTGGCTAACATTAGATCAACTTTCAGGAGTTAATTTGTGGGTATTTGATTAAGGAGTGATATCGGCTACAGGACCACTGGAAAACCAGAGATAGTGCTGGACAGATTATCTTGTAACTACAAGGTCCTGCAATTGAACCCTGGTGGATACTACAGAGCAGTAGGTAAAATTCGTCAAAATGCCTGATATTTCATCAAAAGAAACTATTTCGAAAATCTATGCAATTACACCTATGATAGACAAAATACATGTGATTTGAGTGTTAGTCACGCGTAAATACAATAATAGCAATAGTAATAATGATTACACGAAGCGAAACCGAGTAGGACGTATTTCCCAAAAAATGACTTGTATCTGACTGTTAGTAAAAGCTGACATTCTTTAATCAGTGAACCATAGCAAGACCACTGTAGAAGCAACAAAATGACAGAAAAGATTGTCTTTTTTAAGCAACTTGGACAGCTGATTCGTTTCTATCCCATCACCATCACTTTGGGAATCAACATGTCCAAATAAATTTCTCTTTACTACACTATAAATTTGTTTACTAGTGGACGTGAATTTGAAGTCACTCTTCAGAATCTGTAGTGGAAACTGATTTAGTTAATTAATCGCAGGATAAACACAGTTTAAGCCATGCAATTTCTTTCCTTATATCTCTTATAGACAACTATGGTAATTACGTTGCCTTCGATGAAAATGGTGATGGATATGGACAATATTCAATATATAATTATGCACGTGATCCATATACTGGCCAATATCATTATCGTTTGGTTGGAGATTTTCAAGGCGGTAAACTAACAATGCGTGCACGACCTATATGGCCTGGTGGTGAATCGAAAAACTTTCCAATTAGTCAGTGTTCTGAAGAATGTGGGTAAGTTCAACATGTACTATTGGTTGTCTAGGGATTACTAAACTTTTAAAGTATGATTAAATACTGAAATTTATCTTGCTGTTCAATATGAATAATTCCCTTGATTAGTTTGAACAAAGCAAGAACGAACATATTTTCAGGATGAAAAGACATCATGTGTTTTATGGTCTTCAAAAAAGTACTGATTGACATTAATACCCATAAAGATCTTAAACCAAGACATCGGTGAGTGTCATTCACGTATGGCCTATCAAAGTTCACAAATTAGATGCACATTTGAAACCAGTAATATCACTGGTGAAATTACCATGCTATAAGGTAGCCAGTTGGTTGGTACGAACGTTGGGACCAATCCAAATAGAGTTGAGTATTCATGGTATCATAGATTCATTTTAATTTTCATATGAAGTGAATAAGTTGAATATTACAGACAGATTTCTAGCACAGATGTTATTTGTTCATTATATACTAGTATACCCGCTAAGGAAACAGTGAAAATCATTTGCCAGAAGTCAGAATTACTTTCTCTTCCTAAAAATGAATTAAAACAGTTTTTACGGTTTTCTACAAAGAGTTTTCGGTCCTAATTCAGTAAACAACTATACCAGTAAATTGATGGAGTGGCTACATGTTACTGCAGGTTTGTTGATGATCCTTTTTCTTCGCAGTAATATGAATATCAAGACAAAGAAATGATTTGACCATTGAAGAAACTGTCTACTGAAAAGAAATGTGAGTAACTCAATACTTGGGTTATCAAAGTTTTCGCCCGACCGGTTACAAACGGAATCCGGTCAGAATGCTGTTCAGTAGAGTAGTAGCGATGTTTTCAGAAAAAAGGACTGATGATGGACTCACGATTATTGAAAAGAATCGTATAATGAATTAATATCTGAAGAATTTCCTATTGAAATATGGAAGAAAAGAAACGTACTATGTGTACACATCAGTTCACCTGCTCTTGTGGAGCCAGGTACATAGTTCGTTCTATGCGGCTCTTATCAAAACGTGTTAGAAAACATCATCCAGCATGGCTGCAAATAGGAGGCACTGGTTCAATCAGAAGCGCAATAACTGAACACTTAGTCAATACCTGTCAGAGAATCTCAACTGACTCATCATTTAAAGTCATTTACAAAGTAAACAAAAACCTACCAAAGGCAGTGTGTTTTCGACTTCTTTGTACTGCGGAAGCACTCGCCATATGCATCGAGAAGACGGAGCTATGTGTTCAAAAGAAACTAGTTCAGCCTCTGCACCTAGTTTTTATTCGTCTGGTGTACAAAGAGGATTAGGAATTGACACGGATCAAAGATGCATTGAAGCGATCATTTCCGCAGCTAGACTGATATTTCTTTACAGCATGAAATGGTCAATCATATAATCTAAAGCAGATAAATATCCTGCTAGTGTCAACTGCAACTGCATTTACATGTTCACATCCACTCGCTGTGGCAAGTACATAAAAAGGACTGAGAACAGAACATCTGCTAGATTTTCTGAGCATGTTTTCAACAATCTACCTCTGAAAATCAAAAAGAAGTTTGCAAATGCAGTTGCTAAGAATATGAGTGACACGGGCCACTCAAATGAGATCACTCACGCCTTGAAAATAGTCAATATACAGAGAAAACCTTGATTACATCATATCTCGGAATCCATTTCTATCAAAAGATTTGTATATATTATTTTTTGATTATAGCTTGATTCCACACCGTATTTTTTGGTAGACGTATGGAATTTTCAGCATGTGATATCGGTAGCCCAAATTTTGCAGGTCGATCAAAGATATCAGGTGTGCGTCGGCAGGGGAGCGAACCCCGGACCATGTGCATGGTCGGTGAGAGTAATAACCACTGCGCCACCACAGTATATAGAAAGGCAGGGTGATTAGCTTGGTTCAAACTTGTTAATAAGATGTCTTTGCTCTGTTTATATGTTACAAATTTGTTTTTGATCACAACTCACTGTGTTGAACTCATTAATATTCTTCTTCCAATTCACTGAACTGTTTGTTTACGTAGTAATTTTACTTTTACTTACCACTTCTTTTTATCTCCACCTTTTCCTCTCAAACTTTCCATTACATTATGTATAAATCCACTCTGATTTTTAGATTACTAAGAATCTTGTACTCATATATCTCTTGTTCCACAAGTATGTCCTTTAAGTTGAAATTATCTTTGGAGTATATTATTTATTTCTTGTTTTTTATAATAACTTTTGTGAATTCCTAAGGCTGTTAACAGCTGGTGAAATGCCTTACAAAAAAACAAAACAACGTTACCTCCTTTTATCCTGCAAATATCCCAGGGTTGTTTTATTTCAAGCATGAAACCTCATGAAATCGTCTTAATTATTATCTAACACAGCGCATTAGAAATGTGGTAAAACCAGCATTCCCTGCTACTGAATTACGTTGTATCTTTAAGACTACTCCTCTTCTGCGTTCGGGAGTAAAAGACAAACTGCCTAATTTCACCTCATCCATGTGTATCTACCAATTTAACTGCTTCTGTGGAGCCAGTTACATAGGCTGCACAATTAGGCGTGTTTCTCGTCGAATTTTCGAACATCACCCTGCGTGGTTAAGCAAAGGCCAAACAAAATCCATTCGTAGCGCTATTCTGTCTCATCTTGAGGATACAGAACATAAGATTGATGTTAACCAGGCTTTTAGAGTTATTTACCGGATACCAACAAATCTTAACTTCGCCTTAAGAGTTCGATTACTAAATATTGCTGAAGCTGTTGGAATCCACATTAAAAAGCCTAATTTTGCGTCCAAAAGAAGTTAGTTCAGACACTGTCCTTACCTTGGCCATCTAGGTTTGAATGATTTTCAATTTTTGTGAAAATTTCCTAATTTTAGTTGATATTTGATTTGCTATTATATCTTTATTAGTATTATAATTTAAGTATTTTTAGTGAACTGTAATTGCTTTGATCATACTTTACAAATCGATATTACTTAAAAAACACTAATATTGTTATTAACTACCAATCTTGAATATTTTGTGTATACAAACATATGCATATAATTGTACAGCCAGAAGTGGAATTAATCGAAAAGAATATTCTTTCCTCGATTATTTTGTGTTTTATAGATGTCTGAATGAATATTCTTGCTATCTTAAAAGAGTGGTTTAAACTAACGTAACTTGGTTTACAACCTTCTAGATTACTAGGCATTTAAGTACACTTTTAATAAATGCAAACATTAGAGAGAGAAACTTCCAAAATTATACCTCTTTCATGTACAACCAACAGGGCATGTGGCTTGGGTTTCGACCTCCAGCCGATTTACTATTAAACCTTCTTTAGCCAGAAGTAATCCAGGTAAAGAGGTAGGGTTGGGTATGACATTAATATCCCCACCCCGTAAAAAATAAACATCACTGTTACTTAGACTTCAAAACACAATGCCTGAAGTTCTGCGTCCCATTCAGAACGCCGCAATGGAATAAAATAAAATAATAAACTGTACTACTTTGACGGGCCTGATTTACTTCCGACAATTAATTATCCAGTGTTTTATTAAACAAGCAGTGTGCTCTTTTTTGGTTAAACAATACTTTTGCTTACTGGAATAGTTAGCAAGCCTCATTATTTCAATAGACAGTAAGTTATGTGACTGACGTTGGTTATACTTCATTCCAATACTTTTGCAACTAATTAACGTAAATACTACAAATCATAATGTCAAACAATTTAATAGCCAATTCATGATGAAAGATAATTGGATAGTTACTGAGTAAATTCACTCCCAGATAGTCAGCATTTTTCTGTAACATTCAGTGTAAAGAAAAATATAGTACAAATTCAGGAAATGTTTGACGACTGTTATCCATTTCCTCTGATCAAAACTGCACAGAAAAATAGACGTCTGCTTCAATTAGCAAAGTTGAAACAGTTAGTTTTTTGATTGCTGACGAATGAAAAAGTTATTTTTTGCCTTTTAGGGAAAATAAAACAAATAATTTTGTAGCAGTGCGGCAAATTACTTTGTAATTCGCTTAAATCACACTAACTTTACTCATTACAAGCATTATCTCTCTTGATATTAACTGAGAAAAAAACAGCCGGTATAATGTAGGCCAATCACTATCGGCACTCTTCTCAATACCATTATTTTAAAACCGCAATTACAAATGGGATCGGCTGTTTTTTGTTTCATAGGAAAGTGTTTCTTAATTATAACCTATGTAGCGTATCCAAAACATATTCAGAGCGAAAAATAATATCTGTTATACTAACATATAATTAACTGAAGAATACTCACCCTGAAAAAAATACGTTCAGAACTCATTTTTCGATGAAATATTTAACTGGATGGAGGATTTCATCATTAGCTGACATCAGTTAGAGAACCACTGGAAAACCTGCAGGGAGTAGTGGACAGCTGTTTCGTCCTAGTTTGAGGCTCTTTATGGTAAGCACCTTTCGTGTCACTCAATCCTGCCGTCAAAGACGTTAATACTGAGCTTTTTAGGCTCGCTACTGAAGAGTCCCAAACAAGGCTGACGAAACAGTTGTCTAGTACTCCTAGGTAATTTACCAGTGGTTCTCTAACTGATGTCAGCTCATGATGAAATCCTTCATCCAATCAAACAAATTCCTACAAAACCAATACTTGGAATGTTTAACTCTTATCTTGAAACAACAAATTTTCTTTAAATAGTATGACCTATTGCTAATTTTGAATGAACTCTAATTATTATCATGCAGCTAGTCTTTTGTTTGGTGGAGACTGAATTCTATCAGTCAAGTTTGTAATGTGGCCACTATGCTAGGTGGATAACCATCACAATACACTCTGCATTGCTGATATTAGATGGTTGAAGGCAATCAGAAGGAAGCCTTGCTTCAGCTAGGCTTCTTGCTTGTTGGCACTCACCAGTCGACAATGTGTATCTGCAGCTTTGAAGGAACTCATATCCCTTCTGAAATTGCATCCCGTGTCACTCAGTCCTGTCGTCAGAGATGTTACCACTGAACTT